GAAACCCGATATGCTTCTCGACCATCCCTTTGTCAAAAAAGCCGATCCACCAACACTTGCCGGAAAATACAGTCATCATCATCATCATCATCACCACCATAGATTGTCTCACGGCATTCACTCTTTGGTGCCTCACTGTTTTCACCACCCGAAAGTGCAGGCCTGCTGATTATATTATATCTTCTATATAATTGTACACTGCTGAGTTATGAATATATTTAGCAATTCTTGAATATCTCTTTTCAACTGTATATTACCAAGTCAATACTAATTCCTTCTTTCTCCTGTTATGGTAATGGTATCTCATTAATAAACTTGTACCTTTTAGATTCAGCATGCATATATATATTGATCCTACACACATAAATATTTAATGGTCGTCCATGTCTCGGGTGAAGAAAGGGACAAACGGGCTCGACTTTTGGGTGCTGTAATACCGAAAGGAGCGGCAGTCTTATCGAGTACATTTTATGTCAACTGCAAATAGTTGATGGCAGTTTAGGATGGCAACTTTTAAATCCTTTCATAAATGCAAGGAGATATAGATTTTATTTTCATAATTTCAGAGTACTGAGCCTCCAGAGTATGAAATGAAGTATCACAGTTTGTAATGTAGTGTAGATAATGTGGATTTTGGAGCATTCTTTATGAAAATTGGGGGATAAATGGTTTCTTTCACAAATGGTTTCAGTTGTGCTATTTTTATTTTCATTGCTAGGAAGCAAAGTTTTGAGTTCTGGTTTTTTTGGCACATTTGTGGTATGTGTTGTCTCCTTACACATTTAGATTTTGAGTAAAGCTATTAAACTCGAGTCACTTTGTAGGATTACTTAAACTCGGCCCGTTAAAAGTCTTTGGGTTTTGACTAAGCTCGAGCTTGTTTAGTTAACGAGTCAAGTCCGTATCTGCTTGTTAGGCTTGAGAAATAGCAATTTATTTAACTTTTCGAACTATCAGCTTTGATCAGCTCGTTAATTTTGATAAGAGAACCAAGTTCGAGCTCAATTATTCGATCTATTAGTCAACAAGTTCGGCTCGACTCGACTCGATCGTACATTTGAATCAACATAATAATACATTGGCAATTGCTGAGAACATGATAAAACA